TTCAGTGGGAGATAACGGGGTCCAGAGGTCCGTGGCCGGTGGTTCCTGCAGGATGCGCTGCCTTGGAGCTCGGCTGCTCCATCCCGATGAGTGCTGAGCGTGAAATCCCAAAATCTCTGCCTCCCGCGGTCCTTTCTCGGCATGGAGAGTGCTTGCACGTCCCCTGCTTGGGGAATTATGAAATGATGGTGATATTTTTCCCACCTTCCACTAAAAATATCCCAAACAATCCTATCCTTTTTGGCTTTGCTAAAGGAAATCTGGGCAGCGCCGTTGCTCATCCTTCACCCATCGGGCAGGGGAGGGAGAGCCCTCGCAGCGCCGCCCGTTAGCGCATCCTAATTGCTTTAGCACTGCGAGAAACTCCTCAGGTCCCCATAAATCGCTCCCTTAATGAGATCTTTCTCAGGCTTAGTGTCTTCGGAGGCAGATGGGCGAGGAGCAGCTCCCTGTCACTTTGATGGGTGCTGGGCTGAGGGAGTTTGGTGTCGGCACGTGGGCACGGGGTGAGCCTGGGATGTGCCCTGCTCCGTCCCCTGGCCGTATCCGTATGCCCAGCATCACGTTCGTGTCTAGGGCTGCCCTGGCTGCAGTCAGAGGTCTCTAAATAATACAGTAATGACATTAACAGTAGAAAGTCCTCCTCTGGGGCCAGTCCTGGTTTGAAGGACTCCAGTAAAATGTTTACAATGGATCTGGAGCTCTTTGAGAACACCGTCTCTGAAGCAGCATCGTTTTCTCTTCCCATCTCTGGCTGGTTTTTGGACACAGATCAGAGGGGGACGGAGTGAGGCCCCATCATGTGGCATCAACATCCAGCATGGTCCCCTTCTGCCATCTCACACGGGAGTGTTTCCCCTCTCGCCGTGGGCTGCGGTGCTGCCTTGGCCCGAGCAGGAGGAGAAGCACGTGGTCATTGCTGGCGTGGTGTCCCGGGATGGTTGGGCTTTGCCAACAGCCACGTGTTGGAGGGTGGCAGCCCTGGCCAGGGGAACGGGGCTGATGGCTCTCACTGGCCACAGTGGGAGCAGCTCTGTGCAGGTAGCCCCTTGTCTTGGTCCTCTCTCTGCATTGCTTGGTGAGTCCCGATTCCCCCACCCACAGTTCTCCAGGATGAAAAAAGTCTTTGCTTTCAGTCTGAACAAAACCCAGCGGTGTTATCGAGTGATGCCCGAGCCACCGCTCTGCTAGAGCTCCGTGGTGGTGACCTGGGTCACTTCTGAGCGCAGATCGTCCCCTCCATGGCGCTGGCAGCCCCGCTGGAGGCTGCCCACGTCTAGTCATGCCGGCTTGTTGCGGGCTTCGGAAGGGGTGCAGGTGGAGACAAGCTCCCGCGTGGTGTTTCTGGCTCGGGAGAAGCTGTTTTGGTCCACACGGGCTCGGAAAGGCAGGCAAAACTCTCGGAAACACCTCTTGAAATTTTCATCCAGGAAAGCGTAAAGGACGGGGTTGAGGCTGCTGTTGGTGTAACCCAGGGCGATGCAGAAATGCAGGCTGGCCACCACGTAGGGGTTCTTCTTATCTATGTCCACCAGTGTCCAGACGATGACGAAGATGTGGATGGGTGTCCAGCAGATGATGAAGGCTGCCACCACCACCAGCACCATGCGCGTGATGCGCCGCAGGTTGCGGTCTTTCTCCTTGGAGCCCGAGAGGAGGCGCACGCTCCTCAGGCGAAGGATCATCAGCCCGTAGCAGATGGTGATGACCAAGATGGGGACCATGAAGGCAAAGATGAAGACACAGATCTTGGTCACTGTGTCCCAGTAGATGGGAGGATCGGGAAACTGGAGCGTGCACAGCACCATCCCATCTGCGGGAAAGAGGATGTTCAAAGAGGTAACGGGTGGAGTGTCTGCTATGGACACCCTACGTTCTGCTCGGTCGTGGTTGGGCATGTCTACGCTTGCTAAAAACACAAGGAGATGCATGCCCACCTGCCAGCTCTTTGCGGAGGTTCCCCAGGAGCTTTGTGCCACCAGCCCCTGCCCACAGGGTGCCAAGGGGATGTAGTGGGTGCAGTGACCCAAGGACTTTTTCCCTGCACAGCATCCTGGGCCATCCCCATACTGTCTCCTCCCAGACCCCATGGAGGACCCGTCCCTGTGTCACCTTACACTGAAACCTATACGCTTCTGCAAGATGCCCAGAGCTTTCCCAGCAGCCACGGGCTGGTGTCCTCACACAGGAGCTGTGGATCTTAGTGTGGGCCAGCTGGGCACTTTGCAATACCATTGGGAGTGTTTTTAGACACCGGATTTGTACCCCAGGAGCTGGGGAGAGGCACTGGTTGGACTGGAGATGGGGAAGGGGGAGGACAACTTCTGAGACAGTTTCCAACCTCTGCAGCCAAGGTGGAAAATAACACCATGATGATTTCTCCATGGCAGGGCATGCTTATGGGGGGATGCCCATCGCTGAGCTGAAACCCGCTACAGGACCAGGTGGCTTGGGTTTGCCAGATCACCCCCGCAATGGACAGATGGGACAGGAAGGGACCTTTCCCCAGAAGCCACTTGCCTTTTGACTTGGTGACCGCCATGGCCATGATGGGCACCCCAATGAGGGAGGAGAGCACCCAGATGCAGACATTGATGATCTTCGCCTTGGCTGGTGTGCGGAAGTCCAGGGCCTTAACCGGGTGGCACACGGCAACGTATCGGTCCACGCTCATCATGGTGAGGGTGAAGATACTGGTGAACATGTTGTAGTAGTCGATGGAGAGCACAACTTTGCAGAGCAGCTCCCCGAAGGGCCAGGTCTCCATCAGGTACTTGGCGCTCTGGAAGGGCAGCGTGCTGGTGGCCAGCGCGTCTGCCAGGGCCAGGTTGAAGATGTAGATGTTGGTAGCTGTCTTCATCTTGGTGTACCTTGGGGACGGCAGAGAAGGGAGCCGTTACAGGTGGTCAGGGCTGGCTTACCATGTCCAAATATGTGTGTCCACACTCAGCACGACGAGGAGGGGGCACAGCCTGGCTTTCCCTGACTGCTCGCAAGGTGCCATCACCTTCAGTGGGCAAAGGTACGTGCTTGTGACGTGCCCTTCTGCAGCACCAATAAGCTCAGCACCTTTCCAGATGGACCAGGGAGCATGCTGAGGAGGTGTTTGTGTTCCTGCATGGGTTTAGTGTGTGCTGAAGGCCTGGTGCCTGAGCACGGGGTTGCACTCACACGTCGGACCTTATCCAGCATCTGCAGAACATGCCAAAGTGGTTATCCCTTACCTGGCCAGGGAGGTGACGCTCATCCGTGGGGCTGCCTTTATTCAAAGCAAATCTGAAGACATTTTCAGAAAATTCACTTTCCCAATTAAATCGATTTACTCCATTTCCCTGAATCAGTTGCACAACGTCCTTTACCTCCTGAAATCTCCTTCATCTGATTTTCCACCCAGTAAATCGTGA